CTGCCTCCGTTGTCACATGGCCTCTCCCCTGTTTGTATGCAAATCTCCCTCTTCTTATAAGGACACTAGTCATTGCATTAGGGCCACTCCACTCCAGTGTGACCTCATCTTAACTAATTACATATGCACAGATCCCATTTCCAAGCAAGGTGGCAGTCATGGGTGCGGGGATCAGGACGTGGACAACCCCATTTTTGGGGACCCTGATTCATCCCTTGACAGGGCCCTTGTGGTTCCGTTCTCCACACTCTTGGCCCAGCTCTCCAGTGGCCAGCCCTCCCTGCTCAAATTAAATGTGGTTGTTGAGGAGGCTGCCCTGACCCTTCCCAGCCCCTTCCTGCCTTTCTCTCTGGCCATTTCCTGCAGGGCCCATTGTAGCGTCCTGCCCTCAGTTTTGTTTATTGTTCATCCTCCCTGCGGCCCAGGCTTCCTGCACAGTCCAGTGCCCAGCAGGAACCGCAACATGACCTTGGTCATTTGGGCCCTTGGCCTGTCTCCACCACTGATCACTTGACAGAAAGACCCCTGGCCCACCCCTCTTCATGGGCTACACACGGCAACCCCTCCTGAGAGAACAGTTTGGGGAGAAGCCTGACCAGCAAAGTAGCCAGATCAAACTTAGCATCAGCCCTGAGGAGCCATGGGGGACAGCAGGGACCCTGATGACTTTAGGCTTGTGTCAGTGCTTTGTTCCTTTTCACGGCTGAGTAATATTCCACTGTGTGGTTGGACCACGTTGTGTTTGTTCATCTGTCAGTGAACACTTGTATTGTTTCCACTTTGGCTGCTGTGAATACGCCTGTACGAGTGTTTGTGTGAATTTTGATTTCATTTCTCTTGAGCACATACCTACGAGAAGGGTTGCTGGGTCAGGTGGTCATCCTATGTGGACCCTTTGTTGGGCAGGACAGACTGTCAGTCTGGGTCAAACCTAAGCTGAGAGGCTCAGGCAGCTGACTCAACCTCTCTGGGCTGGGGAAATGGAAGTGATAGTATCTCACAAAGAGTATTAAAATTTTTTTAAAAATGTATTAAAGAATTAAAACTGGGTCCTGGCCAGTTTGGCTCAGCGGTTAGAGTGTTGGCCTGAGGTCCCGAGAGACCTGGGTTCGGTTCCCACTAAGGGCATATACCTCGGTTGCAGTTTGTCCCTGGCCCTGGTTGGGTCGTGCGGGTGGCAGCCACTCGATGTGTCGATGTTCCTCTCTCTCTCTCTCTTCCTCTTTCTCCCTCCCACTCTATCTGAACAAAAAAATGGAAAAATGTCCTCGGGTGAGGATAAAAAAAAAAAAAGAATTAAAACTGGAAGGTGCCCAGCACTAGCTGAGCTCACAGTTGATGTGGGTCAGGCAGGGGGTGGGGTGGCACTGGAGATGGAAACACAGTTCTAGCTCAGGGGCAGGGCCTGGGGAGAGGGTGGGTTCCTGGAGGGAGGGGCAAGCCAGGCTGGTTTGGGCAGATAAGGGCTGGGGAGTTTGCAGATTGCCTGAGGGCCTGGGGCTGGGGGAGGGGAGAGGTTGAGCCCTAGATGTGGGGTCTATGGTAAGACCCTTGACAGGACAATTCAGGAGAAGCACCTTAGGGACCCCCTCTGCACTTCACAGAGACAGGGCTGGGGGCTGGGCAGGGCCTGGCAGGGATAGTGGAAGAAGAGGCCTGGGGCCTAACTGGAGGAGGGGCACAGGCAGAAGTCTTGTAGCTGGGGAGTCAGCTGTTCCCTGATGGACCCAGGCTGGAGGCAGATTTTGAATATTCTTAGGCCAGCAAGAGTTCCAGAGGTCCAGGAGTGGCTCCAAGCCACCCAGCTGGGGTGGAGGGAGTAGCTCCAGCTTGGAGGGGCTGGGAGTAACCTCTTTGATCCCCCTACTCCCCAGCTCAGTTCAACAGAAAAGTGGAAAAAGGGTCAGAAAGTCTGGGAGGCCTTCAAGAGGAGGGGAGATATGGAGTGACTTGTCCAAGCCCAGGAAACCAACCCCCACCATGCCTTTGTAATCAAGGCAATGAATAAACAAACAAGTGACTAAATCCAAAAGTATTAAACTATTTCCATTTGAAACAGGAAGGTAAGCCCACAGGAGATGAAAGAGGACAAGCCCTGCCCTGCCCCTTTGTTTTGACAAAGAGATAAACTGAGGTACCACCCCCCATCCCCCATCTGATATGAGAAGAGGACTGAGGTCCTGCAGGTCTCTGCCATCAGAGCCCAGGTACCAACCATCCATCCCCATCTGGCTCCCACCTACCTGCCTTGCTCTTGTCACAGAGTATCATTTTCAAAATGATCAAACAATTGCAAGGTGAGCATGCAGCAGCACTCACCCTGAATCATTCATGAGGGAAGCAGCTGGCGACTGGGATGAGAGAACGCACTGAGAAGGGAAAAGGAAGACAAAGAGAGGAGGCTGGCCTGCTCCGAAATAAATCAGGAGCACCGATCTGATTGTCAATGTCCAGCCCTAAGCCTTGGCTGAGCTCATGAAGGCCCCGACAACAGCCTTTTGTTGCTGGTCCAAGTTTCAGATGGTGTGGGCTGACAGAGGGATGGGAGGTGGGGCAAAAAGGTTATATTCACATCCTAATCCCTGAACCTGTGAGCATGCCCTCCTTTGGGAAAAGAGGTCTTGTAGATGTGATTAAGGGTCTTTAGGTGAGACCCTGGAATATCCTGGTAGGCCCTAAATCCAATAAGGACTGTCCTTTTTAGAGACACAAAAAAGGGACAGAGAGAATAAGGGAGAAAAACAACCATGTGATCACAGAGTCAGAGACTAGAGTGATACGCCTACAAGTCAAGAGCCTTGAGGCCTCTGGAGCTGAGAGAGGCATAAGGCTCCTCCCTTGGAGCCCCTGGAGGAAGCATGGACCTGTTGACACCTTGATTCCAGACTGCTGGCCTTCAGAAAGTGAGAGAATAAAGGAGGGAGTTGTGCAGGTTTGGGGAAGAATCTTCCAGAAGGGAAAAGCTATACAAAGGAGGCCTGTGTAAGTGAGGTGAAAAACCAGAAAGGTGGCCCATGGTGTGGGGCTTGCTGGGCTGCAAGGCTGACTTGGGCTTGGACTCAGCAAGGCAGTAGCCCTGGGAAGGCCCTGCTTAGAAGTGGGTTATAACACAATTCCGATGGTTTAGACCTCCACCACTGTCAGCTGCCCCTCTTCTCCTTAGGGCTGTGACACTCCCAAGTCTTCCTCCCTCCCCGCTGCTGTTAAGGGTTGGGGGGGGGAGGGGGCAGACCTGGCACTTGTCACCAAAAGAAGGAAGATGAGCAGCTAGCTGGCCCTGGTGGTATCCAAATTGGAGTGTGGATAGGAATCCAGGAGGGAGCAAATCCAGGAATCTACCGGGACATTCTTTTTTTTTTTTCCTTTATTGATTTTAGAGAGAGAGAGGAAGGGAGAGGGAGATAGAGAGAAACATTGATGAGAGAGAACATCGATTGGCCACCTCCTGCATGCCCTCCACTGGGGATTTGGCCCACAACCTGGGCATGTGCCCTGACCGGGAATTGAACCAGCGACCTTTATGTGCATGGGTCAACACTCAACCACTGAGCCACACTGGCCGGGCTACTGGGACATTCTTGATTAGTGACTCTGGGGCTTCAGATGTCCTGAGGTGGAAGAGAGGGCCAAAAACCGCAGGGCAGGAGGCTCCAGGGAAATTGGCGACAGCCCCTAATCCCTGGCAGCCCTCTAGCTCCCAGGACTCCTGGGCTGTGTCCAGATCCTCAAGGCTCTGGAAGTGTTGTTGCCAGGACTACAGGCGCTCGCTGGTGCAATGAAACTAACCTGAGAGTCAGGGAAAAGAGAAATGTCGTTGCTTCTCCCTCTCTAGGCTGGTGCCATTTAAAAATCCCTTTTTTAGCACGGACATATAGCAAACTATAATCACAACAGCTTCCTCTGTTTATTGAACTTCTACTCCGCACCGGGAAACTCGCCAAGACTGTAATGCCCATCGGCTCCAGCTCCTGGTGCTTCCCACAGCGCTAGGGGATCCAACCCACATGCAGCCGTCCTGGCTCTGGCCTCTTTGACCTCAAATGGAACTCCCGCCTCCCCACCCAGCTGGCCTTGGTTTCCCGTCACTTCTCCAAAGGGGCACACCTGTCACAGACAACCCTGTTAAAAACTCTTGGAATCAGCGCTCTTGGGAATACGTTTAGGGTGTTTTTCCTGCTGCTGGGATGGAGCCGCACCCGGTTCTGAATGACCCATGATGAAAGATTCTGCTTTCTGCGTCCCGGGCTCAGTATCTCCATGTGCAGGGCAGGAGAGGTCCCCTGTGCGCCAAAGCCTCGATTTCCCCTCCCTCCAGCCAGGGAGCGCAGTGCACGCGGCCTTCGCTGCTGTAAGACAAACAGGACGGTCGGGGCAATCCCTGACCACAGCGCGCCTGCGGGTTCGGTGGCCAGCAGTGGGAACTGAGAACCAGCGATTCTCCGACACATTAACAGGCATCTGCCTCTCTTCCAGCTAATCTAAGAGTAACGTCTCAATTTGAATCAGACTTTTCTGCCACGTGCCCATAAGCAAGATGGAGCCCAATAGGTGTCCTGCCCGACTCCAAAATGGCGACGCGCCTTCCTTCGCTCTCACGCATGAGGGGAAAAAAACACCTGCCCGTTTGCAAGATGGCGGCAGCCTAGGGGAAGCACGCTTCCCGCCGCCTGACTCGCCACGTACCCACTCTCAAGATGGCTTCTCCCGCAAAGCCCCACGCAGCAGGGCGGCTTGATCACTGGCTCAAGCTTTCTCACGTGCTCCCACCTTTTCTCCCCTCCCCACGATTCCACGGGCCGTTTCCGCCTTGAGCCCAGACGAACGGTCAACTTCTCCAATGGTAGCCTGCCATTCTTCTTGGCTCCACCCCTCTAGCGGCGTCCTAGCCATTGGGAGGGGTTGGTGGGGGCCCGAGACGCTCGCCCCGCCTCCCCTGGGCGGCAGGAGCCAATGGGCAGAGCGCGCGAAGGACGTGTTCAGGCGTCTCCGCCATTTTGTGAGTCTATAACTCGGAGCCGTTGGGTTGGTTCCTGCTATTCCGGCGCCTCCACTCCGTCCTCTGCGGGTCTCTTCTGTGTGCAATGGACGGGTGAGTTGTGCCTGTCCGCGCTTCCCGCCCCTCTTCTTTCGTTCCAGCTTTCCTCTTGCCGTCGCTTAGGGCTCCTCAGAGCAACGGCCCGCTTGCCGATCCGTCCCGGGCCCACAGGCGCCTCGGGATCCTTTTCCTCTCCGCCACGGGCGCGGGAGAGTTTGCCAGGATCTAGAGGTGTCTCACATCTCACGGGCCGGGGCTCGGCCGGGCCCAACCTTTCTCGCCGCCGCGCTCGCTTCCGGTCTCCCCGTGGCTTGGCCTGAACACACGCGGCGGCCCTTCCTGTCGGCCTTCGCCCGCGCCACCTTTTGCGCGCCCCATATCCCCCTTCCCGCTACCCGTACTTTTACGCTCCTCGTCCGCCCCTTTCCGGTACCCGTTCGGACCCCACGCGCGCGCGCGCAGTTTTTTGCACCCCCCCCCCAGGACCCGGTGCGCGTGCGCGGCCTTTCCCGCCGCGCCGACTGTGCGCTTGGCCTCCCCCACCCGTGGCGGTCCCGGGCGCGCCCAGGAGACGCCGCCCTCCTGCCCAGAAGGGCGCGGGCCCTCCTCCGCCCCCGCTTGGCCCCTCCCCGGACTTTCCACAAAGGACGGCGGCGTTCTCCGTCCAGCCCAGGGCTGGGGGTGTCCCAAAGGGACCCTCGCACCCCCTTTGTTCCCGCTATTTTGGGGCTCCTTGTCCGCGAGTTATTTAAGTACGAGTTGGCCCACCTGGGCCGTAGAGTTCGGTCTCTAAATCCTGCGGAGTGACCCACGTGGGCCGGGACAACCGGACCCCGAGCCTTTGGGCAATGTAGCCGGCTGGCCACCTTGCAAGAGGGAAGGGGGGCTCTGGGTGCAGTCAATCGTGTCCGGAGCTTGTGTGTGTTCCGGGGACGGGAGAAATGGCTGAGGGGTGGGTAAATGCTTTTTCCGTTGTGAGTTATGGTAGGACTAAACAGATCTGAAGTGTTAACAAGGCTTCATTTCACTTCACGTAGATTCAGGGCCAAGGTGCAGAGCTGTAGTCTGTTAGACAGGAACAGAGCGGCCCAGTTTGGAGACTGATATTTCTGGTTTGCGCGAAAGGATAGAAACTGTTAAAATGAAACTAAGTTTAAACAGCTTAACGTGGTAGCCTAGTTATTTTCATTTTGGGAGGGTTAAGTTCTGATTTTAGAAAAGTAAGTCTGAAGATTTCCAAAGGCAGTTCTGGTTATCTTTTGATCCGGAGCTTTGAAAGCCCACCTTCTCTGGTCTGACCTGCGGGTGTGTTGTGGCTAAAATGACTGGAGGGCCAATATCTCTTGTGCCCCGGTTTGAAATGCTAGGTTTCAGGCTGAATTAAATTCAGCCTTTTAGAAAAACTGCTGGGGCATGACGAATATGATCTTGGATCCACCTTCCGTTTTAGGTGGACCTTGCAGAGAATCGCTTCCCAAGCAAGTGGGCCTGGGCCATGGGTGCACACAAATGGGTACTTAAGGAGCCCTGCAGGGAAATCTTGATGGAAAGTGGGACTGTCTGGCAGTTTTGCTTCCCTCAAGGATTGTTGAAGGAGTATGTTTTCGGTCAGATGTGGTTTGGTGGCCCAGTCCCATCTGCAGTCTCTTGTGGATGGTGTGTTATGCCTAGGCATTCAGGCCAAGCTTCTTTTTGGAAGATTTGAAAACCTTTTTAGGAAGGGCCATTTTACATAAAACTTCTGTGTCTGAGGGGCCCTCTCAGGGAGTTAGGAAGCAGTAAGTTGCCTTGGGTTAGCAGACAGGAAGCGGCATGTTTTTCATTCTTTTCAGTTTTTCTGGGAAGTTTTTCCTTGACTCCATATGGTTTTAAAAACTGATACTAGTCCAGCCCGGTCTGTGTGGCTCGATGGTTGAGTGTCGACCCATGCACCAAGAGATCACCAGTTGATTCCTGGTCAGGGCACAGGCCGGGGTTGTGGGCCTGATCCCCAGTGAGGGGCATGCAGGAGGCGGCCGATTGATGTTCTCTCTCAAAATCAATAAAGAAAAAAATTTAAAGGAAAAAAACTGATACTAGTCCATAATCTTTTTTTTTCTTTATTGACTTTAGAGAGAGAGGAAGTGAGAGGGAGAGAGAGATAGAAACATTGATGAGAGAGAACATCAATTGGCCGCCTCCTGCATGTCCCCCATTGGGAATTTGGCCCACAACCCCGGCATGTGCCCTGACCAGGAATCGAACTGGTGATCTCTTGGTGCATGGGTCGACACTAAGCCATTGAGCCACACCAGCCGGGCCCATAATCTTTTTTATAGTGAAGCGGTAAAGGCCCTACAGTAGAGGTAATGGGTTAGAATGAGCCAGTGAAGAGCGTAGATGGCAAAACTAGGGCACAGGGCTTGGGGTCATGTTCTTGCAGATGGGTGGGTGGGTTGGTGCCTTGAACTTGTCTCTCTGAGGGCAGAAGCAAAGGGATAATAGTGCACAGGTGGCTGCCCCAGGACCTTCTGCCCGTTCTGAGACCAGCCTTTCCCTGGCTGGGTGAGGGGGACATATTTGTGTGACATCTTTGAGACTCGGTCACACACCACTAAGCCAGGTGACCTGGTGGGGGTTGCTGACTAAGTTCCTCTCCATGAGTCATTGAGGACCTTTCGAGTTTACATTTACCTCGGAGGGTTTTATGTTTGTATTGAGAGCTGATTTGCAGCTAAGGCCTGCAGGAGTGCAGGAACCTCAGTAGCCATGGTTTCTCATCTTCCTGAGCTGGGTCTGGAGCAGGGATAAGAAAGTCCAGTCACACATAGCCAGGTTGATGAATAACTTGTGTTAATTTTATCTAATTATTTCATCTTTATTCTGTCGCCTTCCTCCTGGAGCGTGCCATTCTTTGAACAGAGTCCCCTTGTTGAGTCCCTTTCTCATCCCCCTGGAGCTCTGACCTCAGCGCCTTGTGAGTTGCCTTCTCACTAGCCTTCCTTCCCTGCTTGAAACGGTCTCCAAGCATTTCCAGTTTTTAGAAAGCAAACAACAGCACTTCAGCTTTAACAACAAGCATCAAGTGTCCCTCCTGGGGCTTTCGGAGGGGGTGTCTTTGTCTGGGGTCCTGCTGGGAGGGAGGGGTAGCTGAAGGACAATGATGGCTCCTTTTCAAGTTAAGATTAAATGGACTGACAGCTCACTTCCCTGCTCCAAGCTTACTGGTTATCTGAGGACCTCAAATGGGGGAGACTTGTGTAGCCAAAGAAGTCCTGCGCTGGCTGGCCTGTCCCGGGAATCCTGGCAGCAGCTGCTGTAGTACACCTGCTAACGTTCTCCTTTTCTCTCTCTCTCTCTACAGCATTGTCCCAGACATAGCAGTTGGTACAAAGGTAGGCATTGCTGACTCTGCTACCCTGATCAGAGGCGTGGCCTCTGATCTGATGCTGCCCATATGGGCCTCTTCCCTCCTGCTGAACACTGGGGCTTTCTTCTGACAGCAGTGCTCTTGTGGTCTACAGTTTGCATGGGGCAGAGGTTTTGCAGGTTGGGTACTTTTCAGACACCTTTCCTTGGCTCTACCTGCATCCAGCCATTTCCAGGCTCTGTTTCCAGCAGTGTGGGTTGGATGGTTTCTCATTGGTAAATGTACCTTTGGCCTTAATTTGAGGCTCCTCCTCCCTGTCCTGGAGAGAGAGTCCTGGGGTATGCAATTGGGACTGAGGGGTGTCTGCCCAGTGTTCTAAGTACCCTTGGTTTGATACAGGAAAAGTAAAAATCTGGTTGTACCCCAGGCAGATTATGGGGTGGCTGGTGGGATAGGAGGATACAGAGGGACTACTTATGGTGGTTGCGGTTTGGATATTTTTTGGTCTGAAAATCTCATAGCTTTTTTTCTTGAGATAAAGGAAAATGGAGGTGTTGCAACCCCTTTATGTGCCATCCTCGGTACTTGGACATTTAAACTGTAGAGAGGGCAGAGCTGGCAGCTGCTGTCTCCACAGGAAGTGGGGCCATGGTGGTCCTCCCCTCAGGTGAGGACCAGGCCTGTGTACGCCCCAGGAACTTGGCATCCAGGGGTGCCTGGAGCTGACTGAACACTTCTGCTGGCTTGGTGTTATGTGCTGGCAGAGACTGGGGGCTGGGGAGTACACTGCTGGTGTCTTGGTCAGTGGGCCATGCTGCTGGGCTGGGCTTCGGTTTTTCCAGGTGGAGTCTTGTCTTCACATGCTGCCTGTCCTGATCTTCCTGCAGATAAAACCTGTTTGTTCAGTGGTGGGAGGAGGGAGAGGGATTTTTGTCTCTGAAGCATTTGTAACCATCACAGAAAGTCTGGCTTCCCATAATCCTCCTGGCTTTGCCTGTTTCCAGCTGGAGCAGGGCTATCCTCGAAGGGGCCAGCCAGGGGACCTCTGCTTCCAGAATCAGAACTGTACAGGACAAACCCCAGAACCTTGGGTTGGGGGGGCACCTGCCATCCTGCAGAGTTAAGGCCCTCTGCCAGCACAGCCTGGTACCTGTACCCTAGTCCATCAGTAGAGTAGCACGGTTGGGTTTGGAGCACCATTGACCATCACTCCAGCTTTAGAACAAGCTGTACCATAAGCCCGAGGTGTTTAGCTGTTGATTAAAAAGCAAAGGTTTCCCCTATATGCTGTTGGGAGCTGGTGTGCCTTGTCCCCAGCAGGAAGCACACAGCTTGGGGACTTTTCTAGTAGATGCTTAATTGACTTTGGGAAAGGTACCATGGGGTCTCCCCAAGTGCCTGCTGTGAAAAGCACCATCCGCTGGATGGCCTGTCCAGAGGCAGTTGGACTGTCCTCTGAACTTGACTTGGGTCATGGCCTCAGTGTGGCTTGTCCCCAGCCTGGCCCAGCTGTGCATGAGTCACAAGGCTTTCAGAAAGCCTCGGCATTTGGCCTGGCCCTTTTCCTTTAGTCTTCTGCCCTCGGAGTGTCTACCCCAGTGGATAGTTTCCTTCTGAGCTACTGGTCACTGCCTGCACTTCGGTGTCCCTGTGCTCTGGGGTGGGGAGGTTGCTGCTTAGACCAGGCCTGTGTCCTGGGGGAGGAGGGCCTAGGGGAATGTGGATGGGCTAGTGGTCACGGTTTGTCCCACAGATGTGGAAGCACCAGGCTATCTGCCTTGGGAACTAAATGAGAGCCAAGAATGCTGCCACTCAAATGACGCTGGTCAGAGACAGCAGTCAAGATGCCCTTTTTAAGGTTGTGCAGCTAGCATGTGGGAGCCACATGGTGCCTGGTTCTTGTCCAGTTCTGGAGGGGGCACCTTTGTGAGTCGGGATGGGGCATTATGGATTAGAGCTCCCAGTCCAGAGGCAGGAAGGAACTTCCTTGAGGCTTGCACAGGTGGGACTTAACCTGCCCTTGGTGTCATCAGGAGATTCTGAGGCTGGGGTGCACTCTGCCTGGTGGCTTTGTCTCCATTGAGCCCTGTCTGCCTGCAGTGTTGAGCTTTGAAGCACCGGGTATCCACTCAGAGTCATGACAGGCACAGAAAATTTTGCTTTGTTTTTGTTAATCCTCACTTGAAGATCTGTTCCCATTGATTTTTAGAGAGTGGAATGGGGGAGGGAAGGGGAGAGAGAGACACATACATCGATTGGTTGCCTCCTGCACGATCCCTATTAGGGCTGGGGATCGAACTGCGACCCTTTGGTCCACAGGCTGCTGAGCCAAACCAGCCAGGGCTCACTTTGTTTATATTAGACCCTTGTTCTCAGAGACCAGCAGCATTAACTGTGTGTTCCTCAGCTCTAAGCACCACTGGGGTTTGAGCAGCCATAAGCCATGCACTATGGTCCTGGGTCCACACTGCAATTAAGAGCACCTGTCCATCTTGCATCTTTGGGCCATGGGAGCTAGGGGTTGGGGATCCTCTTTGGGTGCTTGTCCATCCAGGGGTCCAGGATTGTGGGGACATGCCCTCAGCAGGGAGCCAATGGTGGTGTGGCCATTCCCAGTCCTCTTCCTAAAGGGCGGTTTGTAAACCTTTCTGGCTTCCTTCAGTAGGTCTCAAGGGCTGCCTGTGGCAGGGCAGTGGTTCTGAGGGCTTCTGGAGCTCCTCAGCTCTGCCAGGGGAAGATGGGCAGCCACATGGCAGCCATGCGTGATGGTTGTGCTTGTTTGAGTAACAACTAAGTTGGCAGTTTGGAGGAAGGGCAAAGATAAGGTGTCCTTGAGAAAGGCAGTTTGAGGGAGAAGGGGCGAGGTTCTTAAGCCCTGAGAGCTAGAGGCCCAGGCAAGCTGGTCTTTCTTGTTCCTGCTACAGGCCTGAGGGGGCACTGAGGGCTGGGGGTACAGAACACCCTTCCCTGATTGCCGGTCTTGGTCCCAGTTTCTATTGATAGAGCCCTGTCACAGTTCTGCCCCCCACTCTAATTGGTCCTGGAGCCTGCAAGCTCCTGCTCCTGTTACCAGCAAAGTGGTCCTGGGTGGGGGTTGCATCCTGAGTCTCCATGATTGCACTGCATGGTCTCATACAGCTCACCCCTTGAGTAAAGTAGTCCTGTCCTTGAACCTCACTCCACAGGAGGGATGCCCGTCTGCTTTCCAAGCTCAGGGTCAGTCTAACGTGATTGGGGAATTGATTCAACTAGATTGAGATTTGGAGTAAACAGGTTGTTTCTGGAAAGAACAGGCAGGTCAGAAGTCATGGGAGCCTGCCTGCAGACGAGGAGCTCTAGAGCTGCCCTCACACCCTGTTTTCTCAGTCACTGGATAGTGTCGCCAGTTCACGGAGAGGTAGTGTTTCTAGTCAGTGAGTGATGAGGCCGCAGCTCAGGTGTCCTCACACAGCTGGAAAATAGGCCAAGCTCCTGAGGCCAAGGGAATAGCTGCAGTGTGACAAGGGGGCTTTGTTTTCAATTCGAGAGCAGCTTTGTGATAACTGAAGACAGTTTAACAGTCTCAAGGTGGCCTGCTGGGCCTGACCTGAAGCCTGCCCACAGACCCAGTAAGGGTCCCCCAGAACCTAGAGATGGGAGTGACATGCAAGCCCTTGTAGGTGACAGCCCTCCCTCCACCCCCACCCCAATCCTGAAAAGCAGCCAGGTCTGGGGAGTTGGAAGAACTATGAGGCCATCTTGAGGTGGGACAGGCACAGTGCAGGACTGTTTCTTCAAGTTTGAGCAGCAGGGTATTCTGGGAGGAGGGGGTCTGCAGCCATGTGCCAGGCCATCTCCAGCCCTGCTCCAGTGCGCCTTCTCTTGCAGCGGGGATCTGACGAGCTCTTCTCTGCCTGCGTCACTAACGGACCCTTTATCATGAGCAGCAACTCAGCTTCTGCAGGTAACTGCTGACCCATAGCTTTTCGTTCCTGCCGCTGGGATTTTCCTCTTTGTGCCCAAGTGTGCTCTGTGCGGTGAGGACACTGGGGTGAACTGATTTTGCCTGTAACCTTGAACCTTGGTTCACATGTAGCTACACTTCCCTGGGAGTTGAGGCGGGAGGGAAGAGACCACACCAGATGTGGAGACCACTCTGGTTGGCCCACTCAAGGAGGAAGCTGATTCTGAGGAGTGTTGCTGTGTGGGAGCCTGGGGGGGTGCTCTGTGTCAGACAAATCACCCCTCTTCTCAGCAAACGGAAATGATAGCAAGAAGTTCAAAGGTGACAACAGAAGTACAGGTGTCCCCTCCAGAGTGATCCACATTCGGAAGCTTCCCAGCGATGTCACCGAGGGCGAGGTCATTTCCCTGGGGCTGCCCTTTGGGAAGGTCACAAACCTCCTGATGCTGAAAGGGAAAAACCAGGTGTGTGAACCCATCCCAGGAAGGGCCCTACTTAGGCCTGCTTTCGGGGTGTGGTGCTGGGGTCTGGCCTGGCTCATACCCCTGCTTCTACCAGGCTTTTATTGAGATGAACACAGAGGAGGCAGCCAACACCATGGTGAACTACTACACCTCAGTGACACCTGTGCTTCGTGGCCAGCCCATCTACATCCAGTTCTCCAACCACAAGGAGCTTAAGACCGACAGCTCACCTAACCAGGCAGTGCGTCATCCCCTCGTCCCCTTCTGGGTCTAGGGGAGGACAGGGCTCTTGGTGTGGGTCTGGGGATGGTGAGACTCACAGCTGTCTCCCCACTCCCCCCCACAGCGGGCCCAGGCAGCCTTGCAGGCCGTGAACTCGGTTCAGTCAGGGAACCTGTCGCTGGCTGCCTCGGCCGCTGCTGTGGATGCTGGGATGGCGATGGCTGGCCAGAGTCCAGTGCTCAGGATCATCGTGGAGAACCTCTTTTACCCAGTCACCCTGGACGTGCTTCATCAGGTGAGGTGGGGGTCCATGTGCCTCATCTTCCATCCAGATCCTGGGCAGAGGTTGACTGCTCCTTTTCTGGCAGATCTTCTCCAAGTTTGGCACAGTTCTGAAAATCATCACTTTCACCAAGAACAACCAGTTCCAGGCACTGCTGCAGTATGCTGAACCTGTGAGCGCCCAGCACGCTAAGCTGGTGAGTGGGCCCCCTGGGACACCTGCCTGCCCCCTTCAGCCCCAGGGCCCCAGCCACTCACAGCCTTTCCCCACAGTCGCTGGATGGGCAGAACATCTACAATGCTTGCTGCACACTCCGTATCGACTTTTCTAAGCTTACCAGCCTCAACGTCAAGTACAACAATGACAAGAGTCGGGACTACACCCGTCCTGACCTACCCTCTGGTGACAGTCAACCGTCTCTGGATCAAACCATGGCAGCGGCTTTTGGTAAGATTCCTAGCAAGGTGCCTGGTACCCTGTGTGCCATGATAGGCGAAGACGCGTAGCTCAGTCTTAAGTGCTCAGGCCCCAGGAGTCCCATGATGCCTGCCCTGCGCCCAGGGAGGTTGGCGCCCATCACTCCTTACATGGCCATAGCACCCAGCACGGGTGGACATTGGACCTGCCTGCTGGGTGTGGGGTGCGCCGGCTTGGCTCACTCGGCTCTGGTGGCGGAGGTTGTGGGTGCGATGATTAGTGTCTCATTTGTTTCTAGGTGCACCTGGTATAATGTCAGCCTCTCCGTATGCAGGAGCTGGTTTCCCTCCCACCTTTGCCATTCCTCAAGCTGCAGGTACTCTCAAACACTCGGTCTTGGTCCCCACAGCCGACTGTGCATGCCCACACACCTTTCAGTAGCTCTGCCAACACGCGAGCTGACGGGCGCAGTCACGGGGGGAGCCCATCTTCCTGGGCGCGGGCCTCTGGGTTCCCTGAGGAGCCTGGACAGGGTAGTTATAGGACAGGCCCACACAGAGAATCCTCTAACCCCACAGTCTCTGGTCTGATTCCTTTAAGCACTTCCCGGGCAAGGACGTGTGCACACAGTGGTTGGAGGGCTGTGTCCCTAGTAGGTGAATTTAAGTGTCCTGGTAAGCAGAGCAGCATGAGCTGGGCGGGCACACCTGAGCGGCCCTCTTGGGGGCTGGGCGCCTGACCATGTAACAGCCATGTGACAGTCATGAGCCTGCTGTGTCCTGCCCGGCGTGCCAACTGCATGGTGATGGGTACCTGCATGCACACAAGGCCGAGGCTCGATTCTGCATTCATGGAGCTGGAGCTTTTGTGCTGTATGGGCGCATGTAGCAGGGTCCAAACCCAGTATAATCTGCTATGAGGAAAATGAAGGAGCCAGTAGGCCATGTGGCCAGGATAGGCCAAGTGCAGACACGTCCTTTGTGTCTCCTTTTGCATGAGGATGGGCAGGACTTCGCTCCCCTCTTGGTGGAAAGCAGGCACTGCTGCTCATCTCCTTACTGCCTCTCTTCTTGCAGGCCTTTCTGTTCCCAATGTGCATGGGGCCCTGGCCCCTCTGGCCATCCCATCAGCAGCGGCGGCAGCGGCAGCAGCTGGCCGGATCGCCATTCCAGGCCTAGCAGGGGCTGGGAATTCTGTTCTGCTGGTCAGCAACCTTAACCCTGAGGTATGTGGCTCTTCCAGGCTGTTCTTCCCCAAGGCTCAAGCAGGGGAGTTGTGCGTCTCAGGTCTTAGTGCAAACTGTCAGCAGGCCACAGTCCTGTAACTCCCTTGAGCTCATCCACAGGCCAGTCCTGTGCAGCCCCACCCTGCGCTCATTGTATCCTCCCCTCCATTCCCACTGTGCTAAGAGCTCTGTCCCCAAACGTCCTAGTTGACATTTCCAATTCCATAGTGTTTAGATTTGAAATGTTTTTCAATACTTTCATGAAAGCAATCATAAAATTTTGAGCCAGCCACATCTCTGTTTGAGGAGGTCTCTGGGCACTTCTGCTCAGGAGGGCCATGGTCTGTGCTGCCCCCACAACTCCAAGTCACAGTCCCTGGAATAGCCAGCCTACACTTGTCTCGGGGCCAAGTTTGGCTCAGAGAGAGCATGGGTGAGATTAAGGCTCAAAATATTTAACTCTTGAAAGATGGGATTAATGTTCAATTAGCATTTCAGACTGTTTTCTCATCTGTCTGACCACTCCTATAATCTCTTGGCCTGGGGCGGCCGGTGCCTTGTCTGACTGAGTTAGATGCTCTAGAAGCCTCACTAACAGACTCCACCCCTCGTGCTTGTGTGAGCCATTATACTTTCCCCGCAGCAGTCAGCAGGAGACAAGTTCCAGGGGAACTGAGCCCAGCAAGGGGCTTGGCAGGAGCAGGGCAAGGCCGGAGGGGCAGCAGTGTCTCCTGCTCACTGTGCGGACAGGTGCTTTCCTGCCTGCTCCACGAGGTGGACCTGTGACTAGTAATGTGTGTAGATCTGACTGATGGAACACTGCGGATTTTCTTATGTATTTACTGACCTGTGTTTTTTGCTACTTTTTTTCTTTTCTCCCCTTCCCCTTTCCCAATTTTTTTTCTGATCCGGAATTTCTTTGCCAACTGACTGCACGGTACTTCTGCTTCCTGTTGTTGCTTGAAACAAAACAAAACCATAAATAAATAAAAACAATTCCCCCTCAAACCCTGCTCTCCGGAAACCAACCTGCCCTTGAATATTAACATCCTGACAACTTCATCATCCATCAACCTGCACGCCTGTGGGGCTGCCTCCTCGTGGTGGACGATGGCAACTCGCCCCCTGACCTCTCCCTTTCCCTGTCCCTCCGCTGCCTTGCTCTGCTGTCCTCTAAAGAGAGTCACACCCCAAAGCCTCTTTATTCTTTTCGGTATGTTATCATTCACACTTTTATTATCTTGTTTTCATTTAATTGAGGTTATTTTTATGCCCCAAGATGTACTATGAGTTTGCAGTTCTGCCTCATTACTTGGTTTGCCTTCGGTTTGTGTATTTATTTGGATTTCGTAGACACGCATGGTTTATTGCCCTGCATGCTCTCGCAGAGTTAAGCGTGTTGGTAGCATGTAAAGTGATGGCTTTTTGGCAATTGACCTTTCCTGGATTTTATGACTTCTTTGCTGAAGGTAGCCCTCCTGGTAACATCCCTGTGACTAGACGCAGGTTCCCAGAGGCAGAATAGCAAACCTTCGGGAAGAGCCAGCCCTGTGAGGGTGTGCGGGTCATGGGGGCTGGTGCGGGAGGCGGCATCAGATCCCAGGCTCAGGGCCCTGTCCCCACGCTTTTGAAGGCGTGTATGGTGATGTGCAGCGGGTGAAGATTTTGTTCAACAAGAAGGAGAATGCCTTGGTGCAGATGGCGGATGGGAGCCAGGCCCAGCTGGGTAAGGAGTGATGGCCTGGGATGGTGGGGGTATGGGACCAGGCCAGTGGGGCCTTGGATCACGCGGGCGTTCTGCCTTTTCAGCCATGAGCCATCTCAACGGGCATAAGCTGCACGGAAAGCCAGTGCGCATCACTCTTTCTAAGCACCAAAATGTGCAGCTGCCCCGCGAGGGCCAGGAGGACCAGGGCCTCACCAAGGACTATGGGAACTCACCCCTGCACCGCTTCAAGAAGCCAGGCTCCAAGAACTTTCAGAACATCTTCCCACCCTCAGCCACCCTGCACCTTTCCAACATCCCGTAGGTGTTGCATGGGTGGGCAGGGTGGGGTCCTTCCTGCAACATTCCCAAAACAAATGAAGGAGTGGGTGGCATTTTTTTCAAACCTGTTTTTGGAAGCCAAGTAGAGAATTTTAAGATAATGGTCATTCTTCAGTATCTTATTTATGGGTCACTAAAAGGGTGAGCAGCCCCCAGGACTTCCCTGCCTCTCTTGAGAAGTACTGTCTTTGAGGGAGTAGCCAGATGGCCCACTGCTCAGGTCTCCCCTCTCCCTACAGGCCCTCCATATCCGAGGATGATCTCAAGATCCTCTTCTCCAGCAACGGTGGAATTGTCAAAGGGTTCAAGTTCTTCCAGTGAGCATGAAACCCTCTCCCTGCCCACCCTCCCCTTCTCTCTCTCCTCCACCTCATGCTGTCCCTGTTCCCTTCGTACCCTGCAGGAAGGACCGCAAGATGGCACTGATCCAGATGGGTTCAGTTGAGGAGGCCATCCAGGCACTCATCGACCTGCACAACCACGACCTGGGCGAGAACCACCACCTGCGAGTGTCCTTCTCCAAGTCTACTATCTAGGCCCCACCACCAGGACCAGCCTGCCGTGTAATCCCGGCATCAACTTCCATCATTCCAGAAAATAGCCACTTTAAAGCAGCTGAAGTGACCTTAAAAGACCAGAGATTTTATTTTTTTAAAGAGAAAATCAGTTTACCTGTTTTTTAAAAAATTAAATCTAATTTACCTTGCTCACCTTGGGGAGATGGGGTGCCAGCCTCAGGCTCTTGGTGATGCGTGGACAGTATGCCTGCGCCTTCTGCAGCCTGCAGTGTGGTCATTCCCAAACCTCCACTTGGCTTTCTTGTGCCTTAAAACCCACTGCTCTGGCAGGGCCTTCTTGCAGTAGCAAATGCATAGAGGTTTGGGGACCAAGGGTACAGCCTCCCACAGGGATCGTGTGCCTGGCATGGCAGGAGGCTGCCAACTGCAGGGTCTGCTGACATCCCAATCCTCCATTAATCAAGTGTCTGATTCTCCCCACCCCTGGCTTGAGGTGCCCCTCCTGGGCCAAGACCCCCGAGGGTGCATCCCTGGCGCTTCTTCAGCTTGGAGCTTTGTTTCATCATAAATCTCTATTGTGCTTTGATGCAGTTGCAGACATTTTGTGCCTAGCAATATTTCCAGTTGACCAAATATTCTAATCTTCATTTATATGCAAAAGAAATAGTTTTAAGTAACCTTTTATATAGCAAGATGATAAAAATGGAATGAGTGTAATCTAAATTTCCTCCTTATATGACCTTGTATACTGTACTTTTTATTTTATTCCTTGTAATTAAGTTGCAGGGCAGGATCTAGTTTCCAGGTCAGACGCAGTGGGGGCCACTGAGGAGCCTGGGTTCCTCCTGGAAAGCCCCAGGCTTAAGACCTTCAGATGCCTTAACACCTAACCTGTCCTCTGTTTGGGAGGACAAGGGCTCTTAAACTTTCAGGGTTTCTTTTTCCTGCAGATTATGGACCAAAGTTTGTTTGTTTTTTCTTTTTTTGGTCTGCCTCTAATGCTGGGACACCTTAAGGTGGGACAATAACCCTTGAGTCTTAACAGTCTCCTTTACCTGGTGTAGTCCTGCACTCTTGGGTCCAAGGGGCTTCCCTGTGCACAGACCTTGTGCTGGCCGGCCCCTTTTCCTGGGGCCTAAACCCTTGAGTGTTCATGTTGGGGTGGGGACAAGGGTTTAGATATTTATAATTTTTTATACCTGTTATAAGACGAGGGGCAGCAAATGCAGTTTTTTATGGTGACACAGATGTATATTTTGATACCAGCAATTACAGGCACAGTATTGTAATGTGGAGCATGGCACATTCCACTGCCCGCCTTACTGCTTGTAATGTTGAGAGAACTGAATTAAAGTGATTTTATAACAACTCTTGCCTTTTCCGTAGGCTTTCTGTTCACTTTGTAGAAGGCAGTTTGGCCAGTCTGTACTGGACTTTGAATAAACTCTCTGTATCCTGCACTCATTTCCCTCTTTATTGGGCCTGCTTGTCTTCACTGCTGTTTTCTGTGAACTCAGATATTTCCCTGTGTCCCTACCCCCCACCCCCGTGACTTCAGTGTTTCTGGAGATTTCCAGATGTGGGATATGGAGGCCAGTGCAGGCCCCATGGACACTGGACACTGGACTCAGCATCAGCATGAAGTCTTGTGGAACAGTGAGCCCTGCTTGGGGAGTCTCGCCTGGCCCTCTCCCAGTCGGGTGGCCTTCCCTGGGAAGTGAGCATGTGTTTGAAATGGGGCAACTTTCCTGATGCTGCAAACCACACAATCCTTTTCCATATCCCAGTTTGAACCCTGCTGTACAGTCCTCCAGGTACACTTGACCGGACCCACTGCCTTGCTGCCTCAGTACCCTGTCGTCTTTGAGGCCTTCCAGTGTACAGGCCCAGGCCACTGGTCAAACACGGCCCCTGAGAGCCTACACCCAGCCCAGGACCCTGAGGCCTGTATGCATTGCCACAGCGCTGCCTGTGTGGGAGACCCTCAGACCAGGATGACTTTGCAGCCATGACTCCAGTATCAACCTTTTATTGTCTGTAAAATACCTCAGCCCTCTTTCCCAGCACCGCATGCTGTTGTTTCCCCCCTCCCTCACCCCCCCTCCCCAATCCTGCAGAGACCCTGGGTGCTCAGTCCTTGAACCTGCGAGCTGCCTGCATCTTATGGTAGTAGCTCTCAGCCTCCAACTCACAAGAGGCATCACGCTCACCCAGGCCAACCCCTTTGCGCCGCATCGTTGATTCCCGGCTAGCAGGCCCCAGAGCCCCATCTGCTGCACCCAGCGGGGGCAACCCCTCCCCTGTGGCCAGGTTGACTGTGGCCACAGCACTGAACCTTGGCTCCTCCTGGTCCACGTCACTGACAGACGAGCCAGGAGACATACCCAGTGGCTTAGGCCCACCACGAAAGCCATGAGCCAGGTCCCCTAGCTCATAGCCAACCTCTCCCTCTGAACCCTTTGTCCCGCTGCCAGCAGCCTTCCACTCCCAGGGCCCATTACCAGCAGACAGGTGAACCACAGGATGGTGGGGCGCGTGTGCATCGATAGTGACGATGCTGGCCGAGTCACGGTCTGATGGTGACCTGTACTGTGAGGAGTCGGAGCTGGAGCTGGAGGACAAGGCTGTATCGGCCGCCTTGGGGCCTGGTCCACCTGGTGCCTTGGACATGGCAATCACCTGTAGCAGCCGGGGTGGATTGGCCATGCGGGGCTGAGTCGAGGCCGTGGCCACAGCGGCCCCGCTCTTCTCAGCCATCATGAGCCATTTGGCCCGCACAGCCACGCTGCCCTTGGGAGACAGACCAGCTGCCGCCTGTGCCCCTTCCTCTGGGATGTGTACCAGGGGCTGTGGCCCGGACCTCGGAGGGAGAATGACCCGAGGCCCTAGGCCTGGCCTTGCCTGGACAGTGGGGTAAAGTGAGGGCGGGGCTGGACCCTCTTCCTCCCCCTCTTCCTCCTCCTCTTCCTCCTCCTCCTCCTCTTCTGCCATGGGCTCTGCAGGCACCAGCATATGCCCCAGGCTGGCCTCATCAGGCAGCCCCAGGCCACGGCCTTCCAGTGATTTCTGCTTCCACTCACTAATGAGCTGCTTAGAGCGCGAGGCATCAAGCGGCACATGGATGGTCATGTGTCGGCGGGCAGGGTCATCAAGTGAGGGCGTGCTGACGCGGGGCAGTGTGTGGCTGAAAGTCACCATGTTCTCCTTGCCCATAGGGCTGCGTGGGGCCAGCAGGTCTACGTCGACGCTGGCCCGCTTCAGACTGCCCAATGAGGTCTTCTCGCGAGCAACAGGACCAGGCACACCCTCCAGCCGCCCCGGAGGGCCCAGCTCATCGGTGCTCACGGACTTGTTCTGCTGGTACACCGAGTCATGGCCCCGCTGGGTCAGCACCCGAAGTGCATCCTTGGCAGGTGTTGGGGCTGTGGGCTTCTCTGTGGGTGGGGCCTGGAAGTTGCCAACCGCGTGGCAGGCCTGAGGGTGAGATTCAGGCTGGCTGTGAGGCCTGTTACCTCTATCACGGTCCCCACAGGGCACAGACTTGGAGATCTGAGGGGGAAGGACTGGCCCTTGATAGGGGAGTTTTAGGAGAAAGGCTACCATTTTCCCCGTAGGGGCAAATTTTTGCTTCAGGTTACTCTAGTTACACTGCACAAAGGACAAGTCTAAAGTCCATGAAATTCTGGTTCCAGAATTCCAAAGGACTTGTCAGAGTCCCCCCAGGACAGGGTCAGGCTTTGGCACCTGTGCCTCCCTTCCTCCAACCGTCCCCTTGGGGGCCATCCTCCCCTCTCAGACCCGCCCCAGTGGCAGCCCAGCCTCCCTGGTCAGACCCTCACCAGGTAGGCAGCGATGCCAGCACCGATGAGGAAGCCAGCATAGACATCCACAGGGTGGCTACGGTACTGCGTGATCTGGGTGAGACCGCAGACACCCGCTGCGATGGCGAAAGCGAACACCAGGCTGGGCTTGAGCAGCTTGGTCGTGTCAGAGATGACCGAGTTGAAGTACATCTGGGGATGGGGTGGTGGTCAGGGTGGTGGGGCAGTAAAAGGGACAGGGGCAGGGTAGGGCCAGAAAAGCTGGGGTGGGGTGGATGGGGTTGGATCAGTGTGGGCAGGTCCTGGCCAGGGTGTGGTAGGGTGGGCAGGGCCTGGGCCCAGGACTTACCGACACATAGACTGCAGCGAAGGCCGACAGTGTGGCGTGCTGGGATGGGAAGGTCTTCCTGTAAGAGTCATCCATGTGAATGCCACTGTATCTGAGACCCCTCTGTACCTGTTTCCCCATACAGAATGGGACAGGGGTTAGAGCCTGCTCACCTTGCAGACAGGATGGCATGGGTGTCGTGGCCAGAGCAGATATCCTGAGTGATGTAGGGGTTGGCCTCACAGGAGGTGCCCAGCAGTGTGTAATTGGGCTTGCAAACCGTCAGAAAGAAGGGCGCATGGTAGCCTGTGGCCAGCTGGATGACGTCAGTCACCAGGGCCGTGGCACACAGGCCGAACACGTGGACTCCTATGAGTGAAAAGGTCAGGCTGGTGTCAGGGGGCCAAGACCTGCCCACCCTGGCATGGATGGCCGTGGTTTGGATGCTGTCCAGTACTCACCTACAAAGCGCACAGTGCGCCGCAGGAAGGAGTTGAAGTTGCAGCCGCCAGCATTGATGCTGCCCTCAGCCCCGCCTGGGCCACCTCCGCGGCCCCACAGCCGAGACTGTAGACAGTACAGCATGCCCTCGCCCACCATGATCTGCTGACAGGGGGGAACTCAGCTGGATCCTGGCCAAGGGTGCCCACAGGCTGGCCAAGACCCCTGGACCCCAGGACTCACCGAGGCCGCAGGGGCAGCGAAGGCCAAGCTGAGCAGCATGAGCAGCGGGATGAGCTCCTCGTTGGTCTCCACATAGGGCATGGAGAGCGTGCGGTCATAGCACTGGAAACCGACCTTGGCTGGCTTGAAGAGGTCGGTCAACTCCAGGAAGTACAGGGACACAATGGAGGATGCCACAATGGGCAGCTGCAGGGAGAAGACTGGCCAGTCACACACATTCACTGACTCATCCCTCCATGAATTCAGTCCCATCCACTGATTTACCCACCCATCCACCTGTCCATGCTGCAGTTCACTCAATCATCAGCTCATCCACCATGCAGCGACCCACCCATCCATCTGTGTAGCAGCCACAGTCCATCCATCCATCATAGC